AGGGATACAAGGAAAGCCAACATTTTGGCCCTAGCCTTCTAAGGTCAATTAAGACTCAGGACATATGAGAACTTGTACTGTAACGTCATGTACCTCGGTAGTGTCCCAAATTTGCTGATCAAGCAGATTAGGGGGCCAAAGAGGAAAGTGATCGATGACATAGAGTGGGCCTAAGGAGAGTCACATGGGGAGAAGATACTCTCTCAGGCTTTCACAGAGAGCACATTGGCCAAGCATTGGCCGTGACTCATCCACATGGCTGCACTGATAAAGGTTCTACAATCTGAGGTACAGGATCTCAGGACAAATCCTGAGGGCATTTCACTGACCTTCTCAGACCAAAAAGCTACAACTCTTGTTGCATAGGTCCTGCTTTACCTTGGTCTTAACCATCCAGCAGAAAAGTATGAAGACGAAATTATAAGAAATAAAGCCATGCTGTTAAGTTGAGCTGTGGGGGACTCAGGTCAATAATTTCTGACATTGCCAGTTAAACAGAAGACCCAATGCTATTATGGGCTACTGGACTCTTTTAGAATATTTTGCTGAGTTTACACACCTATAATATTCAATAACGGAACTTAGAAAAAATGGGGTATACAGATGAATGTCCATTTTGTATCTGTGTATTCAAAGTGGTTGGGATAGATATATAGTTACATTCTGTTAATGAATAGAATGATTTGTTCTAATGGTGTTTGTAAATAGGATCACAAGTCCGCATCTTTACAGCAATTAACCACTAAGAAGAATATATGCAGTGTATTATTTGTTGAAAAATAAAAATAAATAAATAAATAAATAAAAAATAAATAAATAAATAAATAAATAAATCTATCTCTCCAATTTGGGAGATCAGCAATTATTGGGAAAAAAAAAAATCTCTCCACACTATGATGTATCTGCATATTTTCTGGATGGGGGAATTTGAGTGGCCCTTGACAACTGGTTTCCATAGATACACACCAATTTTTTTTAACTGGAGATCAAACTCTGGGCCTTGTGCTTGCCAGACAGGTGCTTATGCCACTGAGCTATATCCTTAGGCCAATACTGACCAATTTAAAAAAAGAAAAAATCAGATAACGTACAAGACTCTTTTCCTCCAAGGCAAGATTTAGTATTCAAAGTTAAATTGTGCAATAGTGAACTACTCAACAAATACACATTCGCACTCCTTCATCATTACTGGCCAGGAGGGCTTTTCTAATCCTCAAAGAAGTCCTGTCTCCCTATGAGCTGCAAGTAACCCACTTCTCTTTGAATGAAGACGTGAGGAGAAAAGAGACACACCTCCAAGCTGGGTAAATACAGCCATTTCTGGAATTACAGAAAGATCAGATCCAAGAAAGCATGGCTGCTGGAGAATGACAATGACACGATGGGATGAGTGACTTGAGCAACACCCACAGGCAGAGTGCAGGCAACCCAACACATGAAAAACAGATGCATGAGTGTGCTTGCTGGCCCAGCTCACCCCCAGGGGAGGGGTAGTTCCAGTCCAGGCCAGTCCTAGAATAGCTTGTTCAGCGTTAGCATCCCAAGGGATCTTGAGATTTAGGCTCTGTAGATTTGGGTCAGCATCCTTAGAGCTCCATAGCGTCTCTACCCCATCCCCACTACCACTGCAGATCTGACTTCAAGAGGAGCCCTAGAGAGGACTTTGTCTGAACTGGAAACGATTCATGGAGGGGGAAGGAGGTGGGAGTAGGGATGAGACAGCGAAAGCAAGAAGGGGAAGGGAAAAGAGAAAGGGAAACTCTTCTGTTCAAGCCACAGTACAACTGGAAATGATCAAAGGACTCAAAACTTTAGGCAAACAAGAGTCCTGCTGCCATTTGGGAAAATTTCTGTGAAGTCAAGGCTCTAGGGACAAAAAATGAAGCCAGAAAATTAAGATCTCTTGGAAGGAGCAGAAAAAATCACCCAAGTGTATTTCACCATGTGCTGGTAAGTTTGTATAAACTTGGTGGTGAGGTAAACCAAATAATTAATGGCTATGTAACCACCACTCAATCATTCACATGGCCTGAGACCCAAAAGTGCAAGCAGCTGGTACAAAATATTTTAGGCAGCAGGCTTCAGACCACTTCCAAAGTTTTACATTTCAGTCTTCAGAGTCAAAGTGTGTTCTTCTACCTGGACAAACAAACCATTCTTTGGACTCCCAGACTTAAAATGTTCAGTGATTTTATTATATTTTATTTTTATGTATTTAGTACAAGGTCTACAAGGTCTCACTACACAGATCAGACTTGTAGTGACCCTCCTATTTTCAGCCTCCCAAGCACTGGGATTACTGGCACACGACACCACACCCAGTCTCAGTCACTGTCTCAGTGCACCCTGGGGATGGGACCTGCACAGCATGTGGTGCCGGGAACCAAACCCTCGTCCCTACACCTGCCTAACCAGGTGCTTTAGTCCACTGAGCTGTCTTTCCAGCCCTTATGACAGTCTTTTGATACTGGAATATTTTCACATTTTAAAACATTTGTTCTCATATGATCATATTATCTACTTAATCTGTAGGCTGAGATTAAATTTTTAACTCTTTTGCCACTTTTACTAAGATGTCTCAAGACTTTTTCTCCACAAATTTTAAATTTATAGAGCAATAAACAGTGATGAAACAAGTTTATTTTGTGAACTAAAAGCAATATTCTCCAGAGCCATAAATCACCTTTGCATAAAATCCAATCTGACAAATGTGCCAGACCCTTGAGTGGAAGGAACCACCAGCAGCTGCTTCAAGGCTTAAATGGCTCAAGTCACAGTCCCCAGGCCCCTCAGAATGGACTGAGTGCCGTGTCTGATGATCCAAGGGCCAGGAAGAGGGGGAGGATTTCACCTCAATCCTGTTTCTCAACTTCCTCCCAGGCCACATGCTGAGTGGACTGGAACGTCTGTAGTGCTGAATACAGGCTTTCAGGAGACCTGACTTTTAGTGGACCAGCCCCATGTTGGGAAACTCCACCAGTGGTGCACTGTCCCACGTTTACTGCTCATGTCAAGGATAAGATCACAGGAAAAACCCCCTCAAAGCTCTGCTAAACACGTGACATCAAGTTGTGCTCAGGGATCCCAGTCATCCTCAGAGGGATTCTCTGCTCTGCCAGCAACACCTTCACCTGCTCAGACTTGTTTGGCTTCCGTCTTTCTACTTGAGCCAGTTTTTAAAGAAGTAAAGCACAATTTTCCAGTTGCAACTTTATTATCTGCATTCTAGGTCTTCCAAGTAGACTGAATGAAAGTAAAAGTATGTGTAAGTCACACATAGTCATAGATGTCTTCCAATGCTTCAAAATGACACCAAGAATGAACCATTCCACTTTCATATTGCAGCTACGACTTCAGTTGAACTGTATCTTGCTGCCCCATTCAGCCTGTTTAACGGATGATGCTCGTTTCCGCTTCCTCATCCTCCCCACACATGGTAAGTTTGTACCTCTGATTCTCCTGGACCACACCACAGGGGTGTGCTGTGGCCCTGTGAGCAAAGAAGTGGCTTCCAGCAGGAGGCCTCTTGCTCACATCCATTTCCTCCCCTGCCACACTACTCATCAGACCGTGCTGTCAGCTGCATTCTCCAAGATGACAACATATTCAACAGGGATACGAGGTGAACAAGAAGTATTTGTGCTACTCTACATCACTGAGCTTTGGAAACTGTTGCTGCAGAATAACGTAGTTGATTCATCATAACTTAACCGAAACATTGTTCCATGGCAGGAAACAAATATTGGGACACTAAGCATTATGGCAAAAATGAACACAAAGTGAAAGAAATGTGGATCTGTATCTATTACATGTTGGGAAATGTATGATATGTGGAGATGTGTGTGTGTGTGTGTGTGTGTGTGTGTGTGTGTGTATGATAGCCACTTACTAAAACATAGTTTTGGGCCAGGGAGATGGCTCAGTGGAATAAGTGCTTCCTTGGCAAGTGCAAGGGTCTCAGTTCAATCCCCAGTTCTGCAAAAAAAAAAAAAAAAAAAAAAAAAAAAAAAAAAAAAAAAAAAAAAAAAAAAAAAAAAAAAATTTTCTCCCTCCCACCTCCCGTCAGAAAAAGTCAAAGCAACTGCATAATCTGAATTTCTCAAAATCCCAAAGAAAAAGAGATCCATTTTAACCCATTTGTCAAAAACATTTACAAAGTTCCACTTCTTTTCCAGGCCCAGCTACATTAATCAAATGCAGAACTTCAAAGGGGCTTCGTTTCTGAGGGCGCCAACAGACAAATAAATTAGCTGCCAGTGGCTCCTTTGTAATCGAAGAGGGCCAGGCTGACCCAAGGGGAGAGGAGTAAATCAAAAAGAGAAATATATGAGCAAAAAACCAGCACTGGGAACCTTAAACATACTCAAAGGCCGTTCTATAGCCTCCCATTTACACCAGAGTTAAGTATGCACTACATATATGTTTATTTACTAGCAAGAAAATCCAAACATCTGGCATCTGATTGATGTCTTCTATGCTTCAACCATTTAAAAAAAAAAAGTTTGTGCCCCACATACACGTCTGAGCAGCGTGCTCAACTGCAGCTGCTTGTGAACCTGAGCACACATAGTATACCTACGACCTACATGAAAAATTTCCCTTGGAAAGCGCTGTCGCTCCAGAAGGTTTTCTTCTTCCTTGTAGAAAAGAATCACTTGAGATTTTCCCTTGAAGTCAGGGCAAAACGGTCCGTTTTTAGTTTACAGAGTTTTAACTGGTGACTCAGAGAGGAGTGATGTCATATGTTATCCTACAGTTGCTGGGGTGTCTCTGCGCACCCAAACCATTCCGCCTTTCTGCAGCGAGCGGTCCTCCCCTCCTCCCACCCTCTCAGCGTCTTTCCAGCCAGCCCCAAGCGCACAGCCTCTCCAGCAGCGGGTGGGACAGGAAGTCTGACAGCTTGAGTCTGCAGAGGGACCCCTAGTGCTTTCCCACTCCAGGTCCTGGCATCGTGCCCCAAAGCACAAACACACACACACACACACACACACACACACACACACACACACACACACACACAGAGCTCCCATTGTTGCAGCCTTCCCCAGCCCACTGATCCTAATATGGAATGCGGCAGGAAACCCATGATTTCCTGACACTCTGCAAGCTGGAGGAAGCAAGGGGGAAACTCCATTAAAAAGCCCAGCTTTCCTCCATGTTAGATGTGAAGGGGAAATGGGGAAGATTTAGCGAAGTCTGCTGAGGCTCGAGCCAGGCTGGGGCTGGGGAGAGCAGCATGAAGCCCTCAGGTTACTGAAATTTCTCAGCTGCCTGGAAGCCTCCAGAATTCTGCGGAAATGAGGGTTTCCTAGTTCAAACTAACAGGGGCCAAGGACAGCCTCTTCTCATCATGCCCCCAAGTGTGTGTCACCTTCCTCTACCCGGACGGTAAGCAGCAGAGCCGGTGCCCGCCTGGCACTCGCCTGCCTGATCTAAGGTAGGAGAAGGAAGACAGAGTGAGGCCAGCCTGCGGCTCCCTGCCCACCACTTCAGTGCTCTGGCAGCAGTTCCAACATCTGGAGCCGCAAGAATGAACTGCAAAGAGGAAAGTGACAGCCACTGCAGCTGTGGTGGCCAGGACAACGAGAAGAAGATGCTGAAGTGTGTGGTGGTCGGGGACGGCGCGGTGGGGAAGACCTGCCTGCTGATGAGCTACGCCAACGATGCCTTCCCCGAGGAGTATGTGCCCACTGTGTTTGACCACTACGCAGGTAAGCACGAGTGGCCCAGTGCGCGGGTCCCGGTACTACCCAGAGAGGTGACAGCCCACGCTCAGCAGGGCCTGGCTTAGTGGGAAGGTCGGGAGCGGGCAGTCAGCAGGTAGGTCAGTATGACGAGGCTTTGCCAGCATCGTAGTGATAAGAATTTGTGGGATTACAACACCAACGTCGGGGATTAAAACGCCGTTTTCCCCTCCAAAGCAAAGGGAATACTTTGAACCTTGGCAAAATATTACCCTGCACTGTCCTCTAAACTTTGGGGCCGGAGATTTTATTCAAACTATGCCTAAAGTATCATCAGCTTTTTTATTGTGAACATTTTAAAATGTAGTGTACTTGCATTATAATTTTTTCCTATCAAAAAAAAGAAAGAAAGAAAACTACTAGACACACAACTGATAAAAAAAAATTCTTGCCACATTTTATCTATTCTCTTCAGGTTGCTTTTGTCATAAATGAAAATGCTAAGATTAATATATAAACTACTCATTTTTTACTAGAACACATGCTGCTGAAATACTGTGCTTTTGTCCTCCTGGGTTTGTAAATGGGGGTAAAAGCATTAAAAAGTTTTTAAATATCAACTAGGCAATCTGCATTTTACATTAAAAGACACATTTTTAATTGATGTGCTTTTTAAGGTAAAATTACAGATACAAATAAGAGCTGCATCATTTTAAAGTATATCCAAAAGGGACAAAATTGAGTGTAAGGTAGTTTACAGCATGACACTTAAGATATGATAGTTAGAGCTCACTTCTCCCAGCAAACTTTTAGTTTTCAAATGTTCTAAAGTTAGTAGGTGTGTTTTTCAGTATGATATGAGTATCTCCGCTTACCCATTTCGAATCTGATCTTTTCTCCTACTTTTAAAAAGAAACCCTATTTTCTCACACGTAAATTCACGCATTTCTCCAAGTTTGCTGCAGCCTAGATTTTATCACTGGCATTGGGGCTTAGTGGTGAGGATGCTGAGTGATCAGAGGTTTGTTTTGTAAGAGGAAAGCTTTTCTTTCTTCACCTTGGCTTTGAGTCAGGCTCGGCAATGAGGAAACGGCCCACAGGAAACCAGCGTTAGTGTTTACTTTGCTTGGCGACCAGCTGAAGTCGTCCTCCTAAGGGAAGCTGTTTCTGTTCCAAAGCTAGATAGAGGTTCACCTACGTCTGCCCTTCTTTCTGTGTGCATACAGTTCACCACAATATCACACAGCAAACAAGAAGGAAACCACACAGAGCGAGTACGGTATCCATTTGGGGGAATATTCTCTATATTTGTAGGAATGATGAGTACATTTTTACACTGGATCCCCTAAGCTTTTCTGAAAACATAGCAACTATGTCCAGAGAAGAACATTTTAATAAGAAAAGAATAAAGAAAAGCACAGATAGATTTTTCTTTTAAGAAAAAAAAATTATAAGATTTATGGCTCTCTGCCTTGGGAAAGTTCCTATGATTCCAGTCCCAAAAACATCATGGCAAAAGTTATTTATTCTACATTTTCTTTCTGCCAGGAAGGAAGATGTGACTGGTGTTTCATTTTTTAAAACTTTTAGATCAAAAGTGGAACTCAAAATCTACTGAAGGGAAACACTACAAATGTTGAGAAAATTATATATCTGAATCCACAGCTACTCGGTGAACCAGTCAGTGTTGCCAAGAAGAAAGAGGGTAACCCCCACCCCCCGGGTGTGGACATAAAGTCAGTTGACATTGTAAAACTAGTACATTAGTTCACATGTCAATTCTGCTACCATTAAGTGGTTTGATATGTCAGTTGTTACACACTTTGAACATCAAATGTCTCGAAGATTTGGCCACCGTATTATTTTAGCTTCCAAGAAACCGCAGCCGCTGCACTGACAGCAAGGCTCCGCACATAGTAGGCCTCCCTAAACACGCTTGCCTTGATCTGGACCTCATATTGTTCTAAGTACAGAGTGGTCTCAGGTGCTTTCAGGGAGGTCAGAAGGGCAGTGAAGGCATGAGCCTCACACCCGGAGCGGGGGTCACAGTGAAGCGCTCGTCTCTATTTGCGGAAAGAGGTTCTCCACCGCGAAGCACTAACCGCGTCGCCCACGCTCTCCTCCTGCACACTCTGGCCGTGCACAGAGCCGCGAGGTGTTACATGAGAGTCCGAAATTAACTGTGAAAGAATGAGGTATCTCTTTTCCCTTTGGATACTGCACCACTGGGTCCCCTCCCTTGGTCCTACTGACCAGTTCGGAAACGATGGCCTGCAGTTCGGTTTCTGCATCTTAGGAAACTGCATTGAGGTCCAAGACTTCGATGTTCCTTTGAAATTTTTCACTGATAACGACCCAGCCCGGGAAAGTAGATGTACAATAGGAAGGATGGAAGTTCAGAACACTACTCAAGATGCTGAACGCCGAAGCTAGACTTAATTCGGGCCCTGCCACTGTCTCTGTTCCCTTGAGCAAGTTACTTAACCTTTCTGGGCTCCATTCTACCAAAATCAAAACAAGGATGACAAAGTTTATTTGAAACTCTTTAAATTGTTCACAAGAGCAAAATGAACTAATTTAGGTAAAGTTTTCACTGCCTCCTGTGTGGTAAATATTAGACCTCTCAGGAGCTGTTATTAATAGGCCTGTATACTTGCATACAGCTATCAAAATGAATTAAAAGAGAAAGAATACAACAAAAATATAATTCCAACAGTATCCTCTAGAAGAGTATTCTTGTCCTTATAAAATAATTACCAGTACATTGATAATTAACAACTATGTTTCCATGGAATAATACTAAGATGTTAACTTATGAGGGGGAATATTAGATTTTGTGAGTAGTGGCAGAAAAATCAACAACCAAATAAAAAATCGAAGGCTTTTAGAGTTTTATGAAATTTTGATTGTGTCCCTTCCTCCTACATAATAGGCTCCAAAAGTGCTGTGTGTCCCCAAGTAGCTGTCCCTGCCTCTCTAGGAGGGCTCCTGGCCCCATCTCCAATCCACCTCCAGAAATGTGCTATATCCGTAAGGATCATTGCCCACCATGACGTAACGATGTGTGTGTTTCCTTGTTTTCCCTTTCTTCCTCTGTTGTGAGCTCCTTAAAGGAAGGATTCACACCTTGCCCAATCAGGTCCTCTTCTTGGTCTCTTAGAAGCTGTTTTAAAGGTTTCCCATACACACTTCCTTTTGGGGCTTTCTGGGGTGCCACATTCTCCTGGCTTCATTCCCCCCATTAGCGAATCTCTCTCCATTTCCCCCATCCACTCACCTACTGAGTCCCTCAGGTCCTTTTCATCATTGCAGTTCATGGCCTGGCTAACTGTTTCTAGTCTCAGGACTTAAAATATTATTTACACACTGATAACTCATATCTCTGACCCTCAAACCTTAGAACCTCATATGGTTAGCTGTCCATGCAGATATCTAATTCAAACTCATTTGTCCAAACAAAAGCTTTTACTTCCCCCAACCTACTCTTTGCTTGGTCTTCCCCATCTAAGGCATTCTCTTTCCCCACTCAAAACATTAGTAATTATCTTTTCCTCCTCCAAAATCAGCTCAGCCTTCAAAATATAGTACAGCCCCAACTTCACCACTTGCTGTCACCACCACTGACATTTCTCCTGGACAAATCGCATGGTCTCTTGTAAGCCAATCCCTATTTCCAGTCTTCTTTTTTTTTTAGGGAAGGGTCTACAGGGTGTTCAGGATCTTACTAGTAGATCAGACTCATAGTGAGCCACCTGTTTACAGCCTCCCAAGACCTGGGATTACTGGTGCATGCCACCACACCCAGTCTCAATTGCCATCTCAGTGCACCCCAGGGGTGGGACTGGCATGACAGGACTGGGGATTGAACCTCTGGCCCCTGCACCTGCTTGCAGGCACTTTAATCTGCTGAGCTATTTGGCCAACCCTTACTTCCAGTCTTGACCTCTATGTAGCCAGTGCTCCACCCCAGCAAGCAGAGAAAATATCCACACTCACAGCTCTGCCCATGGCCACCTCGGACACTCAGACCCCATCCTTCAACACCACATGCAAGGCACTCCACAACTTTGTCCCTGTTCCTCTCCCACTTTGTCTCCTGACACTCTCCTCATCCGTATTTTTGTTGTAGCCACACCTGCCACCCTGCTGTTCCTGAGACACACCAAACTCCTTCCTTTCTTCAAGACTTTGTACTTGCTCTTACCCTAGCCAAACATTTCTCCCAGATCCTTCTTAGCTTCACGTGAGCACATTATTCAACACATGTGCACACTTACACACACACACGCTACACTCTCATCCTAACCTTGTATTCACCTGTCTTTCTTCCCAATGCTTAACACCACATAGTATATATTTATGTGCTATTTTTAGCTTCTAAAAGCAGAACTTGTCCTCTAGTAGACTCTCAATAGTTACTAAATAAAATTAATGAGCTTATCTTAATTAACTCAATCCCTTCAGAATTTAGATAGTTCTTGGTCTCAAACTCTGAAGAATAAATGAACAAATTTCTGGTCCAATAGGTATCAGTTTAGCATGATATAGAAAATATTCATTATGTTGATTATATTTTTAATATTTGTTCACATTTTAGATAGTTGTGCTCATCTGTACTGTAATTGTACTAGAGTATTAGGTTGTCCTAATAATAATGAACAGTGTCACATCTATTGGAAAGTATGGCTCTATAGCTTGTCTGTGTCGCTTGGAATACTCCTCCCTTGCCTGATATTCATAAGCTAACCTAAATGTGGGGCAGCCACCTCAAGGACTTACAGTTCTTATTGCACAGCCCATTCCAGAGGAACCCCAAGTTTAACTGAGGGCTAGAGCTGAACAGTGGGGGGAAGGTGGCAAAGGCAGAGGGTCACTCATGCTTGTCGCAAGTGTATCTATGAAATACCTCTGGGCTCCCCTTCCTACCCTGCTTCCAGGGAAGACCCGAGATATCCTAGAGCTTCCACATCTTTAGTTTTGGGTTTTGTAGCAGGTTCTTTACTAGTAAAATGTCCTTCTCAGTTAAA